AAAATAGATATAATGGAATAATTACAGTGCATCAATTAAGTAAGTGAAGAGTTATCTTTTTCTTCTGACTTTCATTAGTTACTATAAGGTCCATAAAAGAATCAACTACCCTAAACACAAATTTCTTGGATCTTTACCTAAAGTACTTGCAATGTAAAAGAACTTCAGGACCTTTTGCAGAGATGAAGAGTTGCACACGGTCAACTGCAGTGTTCAGTGTGTCCCTGAAGCTGGCATATTCGAGAGCTTGGACTCTGATCCAAATCTCATGTCAATGGGAGTGCACAGACTTTTAGAGAACTTGCTTAGGCCCGTGGAGAGTTATGCGTGCTCTGTTTTTTCACTATGGAGTGGAGAAGTTGTCAAGGACTCACTAAGTTTTCCACCTCTTCAGTTTCCTTACTGGTAAGATTTTCCAAGAGGAAAAGGCTATGTACAAACAACCTCCTGTCCTACACAATGCTCTAGCTTTATAAGATTTGGGATTAATTTGTGCCAACATTGTCTTGCTAAGTATTTCTTATAGGCCAGCTGTCATAGATTGTAATGTGGAGATGTATGCATGGTGATGCAGTAGTATCATGTGCTGAGAACTTAGGAATTGACAAGTGGCAGTGGCAAAAGTAGTGAAGTGTTTTAAAAGAGGCAATGCTGCCTGGATATAATGAAACCATCCATCTGGGCAGGAAGCCTGTATGGCCACATATAAGTTCAGCTTGTTAGCCATCATGTTTTTCTGTGCTTGGGAGAAAGTGAGTAATTTGATACATGGACCATAGATTTGGAAAGTCTTGCTCCTGAAGTCTTTGGCCTTCAGTAGGAATGAAGCTGCTATTACTAAAGTATCATTGCCTCTCTCTGCAGAATCTCTCAAACTAAATGATGCATATTTTCCTTTCAAAAAGAAGGTGCTGTTTTGCATGACTCCCTACACTAAAAACAGAAAGCCATTTCTTCTGCCAAAAAAATTACTTAAATATGGATGTGATAGGAACAAAGGGAGGAAACAATCAAGGATGTAGAGGCTGTAGTCCTTATTCTCCAGTGACTCCTGGTATGACATGAAAAGAGTCACTCAATTTCTCTGTGTCTCAATTTCCCATCTGTAAAATGGGGTTAAAATACCTACCTCACAGGGGTGTTGTGAGGCTTTTCTAAATAATGTTTGTAAAGTGCTTTGAGATCCTTGGATGAAAGGTGCAATAAGAAATCAAAGTATTCACTTTTTAAAGTGCAATACAAGAGTGCACTTCTGTTGAGATGGCTAAAGGCTTCCAGCTCTTTATAGCTATTCCACATACTCTTCAGTATAATTTCCATTCTGTTGTTTGTTGTATCTGCTGGGAGTTAAAAAGAATGAATTTTGCAATCAAGAATACCTAAATTTTCATAGTACTGTGCGGATGAGGGCTAAAACAATCTGATATTCTTTTTAAACCATTGCATGCTCCTTGTCCATGTAACCCTAAAGCTAGTAGAAAAAGAATATATGATAGCTTTGTGCGCTCTTCACCTGAACTGGCTAACTTGTGCCTTTTTTGAGACAAACTCAGCCTCTTCACCAAATTAAAAGCTGCAATTTGGGTCAATGGTTAGAAAATTTATCTAAGGGGTAGGGTAGGTGTTTTAGTCCTATATGTTTTGCAGTCATTTAACAAGCAGCCATTAAACAACACAGCGTAAAGCTAGTTACTGAGCTAAAAGTTATATCTTAGAATCATAGAAATATGAAATGAAAGCAAGGTTAGGTTTTACAGAGCTGAATCAAAGAAAAGGCACATTGGTTAACATAATGCTACTAGGTTAACATACTTTCCAGAGGACCCTTAACTACCACACAAAGTAATTCAGTACTTAAAATTTCAGTTTAATAAACAAGTGACACAGGTGGTTCACTAGAGCAGGCTCAGCATTTAACAGACTGTTATTGAGGAGATGACATAGTATACATAAACATCCTTTTCATTAAAATTAACTGCTACATGGAGATAAGAAGCATGAGCAAAATAGTTGTTCAAGAAAGGAGATGCAAGAAATGGCAAAAAATTAAAAGGGAGGAATGAAATTTGATTAAAATATTTTGTTTTCCTACTTCTCTCATCCAGGATTCATGCTTTACACTTTCTTCTCCTCCACCACCTTTTTTTCTTCTTCTTTTTAGGATTGAACGGGCAGGAGAACTGAAAAGGATATAACCAAACAAAGAGAATAAAAAACATTTAGTTACAGCTTTCACCCAGCTTCACCTACTCAAAAGGAGTTTACATGTCTTCACTCATACAGTACGTGATCCATATTTTGACTTTTCACTGTAGTGGAGGCAAAGTATAACATATTCCTCCCATTGATGATCATTTACATGACTTTCATTCATGTAAAAACGAACACAAAACCCTTGTTAAAAAAAAAAAAAACCAAACCCTGAAACTTTTCACATTTCAAAAGTTGGCCTAGAGTAGTCACTGTGTACCCAAATAGTTCTCTGGATGGCTTGAGAAAATATGTTTTTTTTTCATAATCTTTATTTCAGTATCCTGTCAGAGCTAGATTTGGACTGTTTTCACCAGTGTTTGCAGATATCTCATCTTAAAGTTGAAGGCACTGGCAATTTAGGAGCTATAGGTCACTACTTTTTAATTACCTTGATGTTTATTCTGCTACATCTCACTGCCCATCAGACGTAATTACAAGAAGCACCCTACAAAAGGAGCAGTTTCTACTGGACAGTCTTCTTGGCATCATGTTTTATTCTTAGTATTTAAATTAATGTTGGATTTGTTTTTACATTTCACTTCAGAAAATTTTAATTAGCGTATTAAACCATTTGTTTTTTCAAATAGCACAAACTAATTGTCCAGTAATCTGTAACTGCTGCCTTATGTGTAGTCATTAAAGACAGAAATTTTTCAAATAGGAAGTATGACATCCCTTACTTTTGCACAGAAAATCTAATATTCTGATATACTTAATTTGTGAGAGACTGAAATACAAATATGAGTTATGATTATCTCAAGAACAACAGCAACTAAAATAAAAACATCTTTGATGATAAATAGGTAACTCACTACTGACTTGGAAATACCATGTCATGTAAAAATGCCATACATCCTTCCCTATTAATTATCTTCCCACTCTATTCAAGTAGATAATAGGTATTATATGAAATTTTACCATTAAAGCATTTTTTTTCCTTAGACATAGCCTAGTCATCTACCAGTTCTGCTACTTAACTACAGCCTACTATCATCCCAGGATCCCCAACCACTGTGTAGAAAGAATACAATCTTGTGGCTGAAATATTAATTATTGTGCTGTTGAGCTTTGTATTTAAAACTCTGACTTATTATCTTGTCCACTGATATAAAAATTATTTTTATAAAAGATTATTTCTTGTCATCAAAGCATTAGTGTACAAGCCATCTACTACCTCAAATTTCCTACTTTGGTTTGTTTAACCCAAAACACAAAAGTCACATTTCAGAAAACGCTATGTGTTTAGGAGCACCAGTGTTGAAAATATATCAGAGCTGAAAAGGCACTATCTGAAGTAGGTGGATTAGCTCTTGAGCAGGTGTTAATTGTCCTGGCTCTAATGGTTTCTTTCAGTTTGCACCAGCTGAAAAAACTGGCCTAGCATGTCAACATAATGACAGATGTAGGAACTTTATTTTCCAGTTGTGATGCAAAACATTTGAATAATGCTTAAGTAGCCAATTGTCAAAATAGCATTTATGAGACGATCATTAGTAAATAATGATGAAAGTATATGTCATTTAAGAATGGGTCTAAGAGCAACATAACTTCTGAGTAAGCAAGAGATATCAGAAAATGCTCTCTGGATGATATTCATCTAACCAAATATGGGTATCTTTACAGTAGGCATCTTGTCCGAGTCCCTTTGTTGTCAATGAAGAGAAGCAGACACTTCTAGTAGATATTAATTTTATTCTCAAGAAGACATCTTAAACAGATTAGGTGGACTGTATCCTCAAAGTGTCTGCTTCTCTTACTGACTAAGGATGGGAACACCAAAGAGTTTACTTGGATATAGATGCCTGCCTTGCTTCTGCCTAAAGTTAGATGAGATGAATCTCACCCTCAGGGCCTCACATTGGCTTCGTCTTATTAAGTTGTCCCTCTATTATTCAACAGTTACTAAAACAAAGCCAAGTAAAATGTGGTAACCCTGCACTATTATATTACAATGCACAGGACAATAGATAACAGCCCTGTCATACATGTATGATGTATATCATTTGGGCTAGCATATTTACTTAAAATTACATTGTGCATATAATTTCTTCTATCTTCCTTCCATCTAACAGCTCTTTTCAAATTCTTACTTATCTACAGTTTGCACAGTTAAACTGAGAGAATTTGATTTCTACTTACAGATCCACTAAGTAAAAGGCCGTTTTGATCTTTGTGTATAGCTACCGGTTATCTAGTGTCAATGGTGTGATATGGTGTTAAAGAAGTGACAAGTTTCTGCTTGGTGTATATTCCTTCTCATTTGGTGAATGGCATTCATCAGTAAGAGAAGAAGTCCAGTAGTACTCACTCCTTTGCCATCCACCATATATACAGGAAATTCAGGAGTGAGAAAAATTTGAAACATGGGCAATTATGTCATATTAGTTAACATGATTGCAATAAACCCCATGAAACTGTAACTATAGAAGTGAAAGGAGAAACATAAGAATTTATGCCATAGTATTTAGCAATAGTAGGAAGTAGCATTTTGATTGCCTTCTTCTTAACAGTTCTGTAAAATTCATGTGAATAGCAAATAAACAAAAATAGCCTTACGGACTATAGAGAAATTCACGTCATATGGGCCTTAGTGTTATAGAATTGCTGTATGATTAACAATATTTGACATGCAGTTTGTTTTCTGTCCGTGCGATTGCAACAACAGTTCCAATTGTAGCCACTTTTTTCTTTTCTTTTCCTTTTTCTTTCTTTCTTTGTTTCTTTCTTTGTTTCTGTTTTTTATGCAGAAGACCATCAAATGAATTGTCACAATACTCGAATAATGCAAGACACAGAAAAAGACGATAACAATAATGATGAGTATGATAATTACGATGAACTGGTGGCCAAGTCATTGTTAAATCTTGGCAAAATTGCAGAGGATGCAGCATACAGAGCCAGGACAGAATCAGAAATGAACAGCAATACATCTAATAGTCTGGAAGATGATAGTGACAAAAATGAAAACATTGGTCGGAAAAGTGAGCTGAGTTTAGATTTAGACAGCGATGTTGTTAGGGAAACAGTGGACTCCCTTAAATTATTAGCACAAGGACATGGTGTAGTGCTTTCAGAAAACATTAATGACAGAAATTATGCAGACAATACTTCACAGCAAGACAATAGGAATATGAACTTTGTAATGCTAGGGAAGCCTGTGAACAATGGACTTACAGAAAAAATGGTGGAGGAGAGTGATGAAGAGGTGTGTCTCAGCAGTTTGGAGTGCTTAAGGAACCAGTGTTTTGATCTGGCTAGGAAACTCAGTGAGACAAACCCACAGGAAAGAAATCAACAGCAAAACATGAACACTCGTCAGCATGTCAGGCAAGAAGATGACTTCCAAGGAAGAACACCAGACCGGAATTACTCTGATATGATGAACCTAATGAGGCTTGAAGAACAGTTGAGCCCCAGATCTAGGACTTTTTCTAGCTGTGCAAAGGAGGATGGTTGTCATGAAAGAGACGATGATACCACCTCTATTACTTCAGATAGGTCTGAAGAAGTGTTTGATATGACAAAAGGTAACTTAACCCTGCTTGAGAAAGCAATTGCTTTGGAAACTGAGAGAGCAAAAGCCATGAGAGAAAAAATGGCAGTGGAAGCTGGAAGGAGGGATAATATGAGATCATTTGAGGAACAGTCTCCAAGACACCTTTCTGGAGATGACAGGAAGCCTAAACCCAGTGACGGCCATGTCAAAAAGCCATATTATGGTAAAGGTAATATTTCTATATACCATATGTTATGTCATGAGAAAGTGTGAGCTAACATGTTAAGTTTTACATAGATTTATGAAATGAACTTATTACTTTTGTACAATGGGAACTTTATTTAAACTGTAGTAGTATGACATGATTGTAAAATAGCATCATGCTGCAATTATAAAATAAAAGAATTCATTCTACAGTGTTAGAAATATGTACAGTATTTCAGTGAATATAATTTGGCTAAATTAAAAAAATAACTTTTCAGGGGAACAAAACAAATAAGAGATCATGTTGAAAGAGGCAAAGATTTTTCTCAATTTTTTTTAATAGAATCTATAGTAATAATTAAAAAACAATGACGAGAATTATATTGCAAACTGTATTGGAGAGTGGGGTTTTATGCAGCAGGTAGTCAATCAGCTATGAAGTGCATATTTTATAGATTGGATTGGGTAGGTGGCATCGTGACTTATAAAATTATCATCAAATGACAGTTATTGATGAAGCCTCTCCCATCTAAAATGTAGAATTGCCTGATAGAAATTGAACAGTATCAGAATGACCGATAACATAAGATAGGGGCAGTGACTGCACATTAATTATCTTAAGATAGTAAGGTAATGGAAACCATTTGCTATGCAAGGCATGGTGTGGCCTGGGCTGAGATCAATAGCAATTTCTTTCTTATGTGCATTCCACTTCACTGGTTTCATTCCATTGTGGAAACAGTTAAGGTGCTGCCTTGACCATAATTCAATACAAAAGGAAAAAAAAAGGGGGGGGGGGGGGAAAACAAAACAGCCCAACATGCCAGTCAAAGAGGAAATAAAACCATAAAAAAAAAAAAATAAAAAAAGAGACTAAAGGTTACCTTTAGAATGCCTTTTAATTTATGGGATTGTCATGATGATGGTGTGTTCCTATCGCCACACCCCTCTTTAATGTGTCTACACCTGTACATGTAGGGCCATGTTGTATGAAGTGTTCAATACTTCCCCTGACTCACTGACCACCCCTGATTCCCATTGACTTTAGTGGAAGTTCAGGATCTGGTATTTCTTGGGAGTTGCTAAGCGGGGACTGTGTTCCTCTTATATTTGTTGTAAAAATACTGGGTTTACTTTCTGCAACTGAGATGGTGCACAATTTTCTCCTTTTTATAATCCCTGTTTTGAAAAAGTAATACCCTAAGGCCTGCCTGTGACATGCAGGTAGGCAGACATCTTGGTCCAAGAAAAGTTTTGATTTTTTTTTACAAGCCTTGAAGTGAACTAATGACAGTCTTTTAGAAAAGTCTGGAAATTACTTATGTCAAACACTCTTCTGCAAAGGATTTTAGTGAAGTTTTGTTCATTTTAAACACAAATACAAGTTCCAGTGAGTGCTGTAAAAATTTCAGGTGTTTGGAGAAGACAGCTTTATCTAGTTAGTGTTTTACTGCATAGCCATGTGGATGTTGTGCTAAATGTTGTTCCCATACGACCTATTGTAGGTACATTTTCCTTTTAATATATGTCTTTAATAAAACTACAGAAAACATGGCAGACCAATATTAATATTTGAAGAGCTTTTTAGCTCTGATGTTGTCCAGCACCTCCAGTCTATATATGCCTGGGAAAACATTTATGTATATAGAGCTACTGTCTCCAGAAAGACTGTATAATTTCTGACAGTAACAGAAGTATGGACTTCCTATTTCAGCAAATTCTAGAGCTTTGAACCATCCTGTCTTTTTGGAGCTGCAGGCTGAATTGATAATAGGTCCAAATCCTGGAGAGGGACTAAATATTGTGGTAATTTGGGCCAAGAATCATTGTGGAGTGGATCATTCTGTGTTTTTTTAATGAAGGAAGAAAGAAAAAATTATTCTATCCTTACTTTAAAATCATAAGAAGCACTCTGGTAGTTACTGAGAGAGGAAGCTTTTAGTAAGACAACCAGTTACCTTTTGCTCTTCACTGTCTCCACTCACACATTATTTTCCAAATGCTCCTGGAAGAAATACTCACAGAGATGTATGATGCAGTTAAGCAGAATCTTTTTGGGTACACAAGTTTGCAATGAGAACTACCTCCTAGCTTCAAAGATCACTGAAACAACTGCTAAGGGACCACTAAACATTTTTTTTTTCCCTTCCATTTAAAGCCTACTAAACAGGCTTTCTTCTGAAATTTATGAATTTTAAAACCTTTTGAGTCCTCTGACAACCTTCACTCAGGCAATACTCCCATTGTGGCAAGGAATGAGGAAAGGTTACAGAATTAAATACAATTATGCAATATTTCTCCCAATTAGCAGAAGAGGATTTACAAGAGTATTCAGTGTTTTATATAAAGCTGTGGAAAGTTTAGTCAAATGTCTTCCATTAAAAGCAATGGGAAATTGTGCAACTACAATTTTATGCAAGTTTTGAAAATCATTAAGAATAGTATACAGCATCTTTTCTGACTCATTAGACCATAAAGGCTCTTAAGAATCTGATACATGCTATAAGTTTACAGCATAGACTTGAATACAGAAGAGGATTTGCTTGACACTGTAGAATGGAAGTGTCCAGATCCTCAGCTGCTCTAAATTAGAATACCTTTTTTGACTTCAGTGGAGTTCTGTCAATGTGGCATAGTTAAGTTCCTCTAGTTTAAATTCTCTAAAAAGCCATTATGGTCTATCAATCATCTACATTTTCTGCAGTCCTTGAATATTGTTATATTTATATAATTTATATTTCATTTACATTTTTTATTCACTTATATAATAATTTTATACATCCCAAAATACTTGACTTGAAGAGTTGCTTAGAGTTGTGTATGTATGTAGCTGTGGGCTTGCTGTTCTAGTGGTCTCAGCACAGGCCTATCTGGCAGGAATTCACATCCCTCCTCTGATGTTTGCTCCTTCTGTGGCCTTGGGTTTAACTTCTTGATCTCTTTGCTTCAGTTTCCTGATGTATAAGATCACGGTCTTTCAAAGAGTGTTGTGACAACTGTATAGCACTTTGGAGATAGATTTACATGTGTATTTGTCATTAAAGAGCATGAAACAAAGAACTGTGTTCTACAGTCAACATGCAAGTTAAGGAAAATAAAAGTCCCATAATTAGAAATTCTCTTCACAGAAGACAAGGTTTAAATATCATATTAAAATTTAAGAATGGATTTAAGACATGGAGAGTTGCTACAATGAGCTAAAGAATTTCACTAAAATGAGAGCGTTTTGAATAACTTGGAATGTAAAAGTATATTTGTATATAAAAGCTACAAGAGCCAAATGAAAGAAATAGAAGTCCATAACTGAATATAAACTCTGGATTGCATTGATTCATGCTGAAAAAAAATGGGTTGTATGTGAAGTTCTGCAAGTACTGAAATGTCTACTGATTGTACCAGGGTTGCATTTGTGGAAGCTGGGATGGAATTTTATGTAAAAAAGACAAAGGAAAACAAGTACCAGAATCTTAATTTCCAGAGACAAAAGCATAAACACTGAAGCAGATTAATGACAAAAGCAGCATAAAATACTTAAATGAGGATAGCTCAGATTGTATATTGAAAGGAGGATGGACTGAGAAAATGGAAGGGGAATGTTGGTTGATCTTGAGACAAAGTGTAGTAGCAGTTAGAGTATCTTGAATTTTATTCCTTTAATACTACTATGAAAATCAGCAATAGTTTTCAAAATCTGGTAAATGTGATCAAGATGATAAGATGTAATTTGCATGATGTGCTGGGTTTGAAGGGTAAGAATGTTATGTTACCGGTGTTCTGTTAAAGGAAACAAGCTGATGAAGTATGTGAGAAAGTTCTAGTTCAGGATTAATCTCACCAGCAGTTCCACTATATTATTGGCAGAAAACTTTATTTTGTTGAAAAAATGTCTATTTAGATTTTTCAGTGATTTGTAGATAGAAAATCAAACAACATTCTAAAAAATCATTAGACTTTTCAAGCATATGAATATTTAAGTATTGTATATGCATGTTTGTAAGGGCCTAAATTTACATGGCAACTGATACTTTCAATAATTCTGATTGCAATGTTTACCCCAACATAATTTTTTAAGAGAAAGGAATAATTACATAATTTCTATCACTTTATAAGGAATCTGAAGAAAACAAGAGGTGTTTCCTCAGTGAGCCTTGGAAAAGGGCTTTATTTGTTTTGAATCATTGAGTCATTACGCTAAAGAACTGGGTTTGTTACTCTCAGCACACTGAACTGATATGACAGTACATTTGCAGACCTTAATACATCAGGCAACAAGAATGTAAAGAAGGGAAACTCCAACTGAATAGCTTCTAAATGACCTTACACTCTCGGGCTGATGCTTGCCAGCATCAACATCGATTGACAGTGGTATGGCTGTGTTATAAAAAGGTCACTTTCCAATCACTGTGAATGGATATTGCTGTGATCATAGGAGCCTGCAGCCTGAAAAGAAGATAACGGGATAAAAGTAGCAGAACTGTGTTAAGAAGTAGAAGGTTGTGGGTTTTTTTTCTTCTAGTTTTCATAAGAACATTTACCATAGAGTAAATGACATGATTAAATGAACCTTCTTACAGAAATGTGAAAAGCATCATTCACTTGACACATTTGTTGTAAATTATAGATCCCTCAAGAACAGAAAAGAAAGAGAGCAAATGTCCTACCCCTGGGTGTGATGGAACTGGCCATGTAACGGGGCTTTACCCCCATCACCGCAGTTTGTCAGGATGCCCACACAAAGATAGGGTCCCTCCAGAAAGTAAGTTCACCTTGTTTCATGGAAACTGGGGATAAAACTACAAAAACCTTTCTAGCATGCTTTTTAAAACTTTCATTTAAAAAAAAAAATTTCATTTTTCAGTATGGTTTGTTTCAAATTAGTCAACTGTTCTGTGTTATACTTTTTGCTTTATTCCATCATTTCCATTCTCTACTAACTTTTACACTGAAAGAACAACTTTTAAAGCTGTATTCTTTGATTTTAAGAATCCTAGGTTATTTTTAAAAAGATGTACTCAGTTAACAGAGAAAACGGTTTCCAGAAGATGTGCACTGCTTTTACTTCTGCGTGCTGATGTCACATCAACTGTCCCTGTTCCTTTATACACAAATAATCGTACTTGAAAAACTTGCAACCCATTCCTTTTGTTCTTGCTGTGTCTGAAACATAATTTATATTGAAGAAGTTTATATTATCAAAAATAACAATTTGGCTGTATACTTAGCTACACAACTCAGGCTTCTGAGCAAACATTCCCTGTCAGTCACATGGGTGGAATATCCTACCGTGTCAGTGGATTCTCTGCACAGGAGTTTCACCTATATGAGCTCATGGGCATTCACCTGAAGGCAGAAGGCTCCATTTCTGGAAGTCACCTCCTTGGCTGGTGGAATCTGCATAGTTATGTTGAAGCTAATTTGCTCTAATCTGATTTATAGGCAAGTGTCTAGCTAACATCCAGTTCTCTTTCACAACAATTTTAAAATGGAGTTATGCCATTGAAACCTATGGACCTAAACCCCCCACTGCCCATCAGCACTTGCAGACCTAACCTCAATGGATTTAAAACAGCTTAAAGGAAATGTTATAAAGACTGGGCTAAAATGGTCCCTGGCTTCCAAAGGAGAGTAGATTCTGAAGGATAGGAAACGAGAAGTAGATTAGCACACCAAGAGTGGCAGACATAAAAAGTCTCCACTTTCATGGTAGAGTGGCTTCTTCCAGAAGTAAAGTAATGATGAAGTGCTTTAGGAAACTTTGCTGTAGCTTGGCTGATCTCTGAATACAGTAGAACAAATAGAGTAATTTTTCTGCTTTGCAAGACCCTGTAATTTTCTGAAAAACAAATATTTATTCAGTTGCGCAAAGTTCACTCATTTTTACAAATGGTAAATAAAAAGCTCTTTAGAAGACTTTGTAAATCAAAGAAGAATATAGCTTTAAACTGTTTGCATGCTCTTGTACCTACTAAAATGAAAAAAAAGGTGAGCTCATCGTTTTATTTTTTTCCTGTGATGTTGGCTTTGTGAAGCATGTTTCAAGAACAGCTTTGAATGGTAGGAATTTTGGAGTAAAGCTTTTGCATCTGTACACATTTTAGTACACTGATGATGGGGTGATGATGATGGTTATCTTTTAATCAGTATACATGGTTAAATGCTCAAGTCTCTAAACAGCTTTTATTCAGTTCTTATTTCAGTCAAGGAATTCACTGATTTTATTAGATTTTTTTTTTTTTGAGTAAGAACTAAATACAGGCTTTCAGACTACTTCTTGTATGAGAAAACTAGAATTTTACAAAGTTGCTGGATGACCTTTTTCCATAGAGTGATTTACTTCCATCTGGCTCTGAGACATAGATTCAGATATGTCTCATATCATACAAAAGTCTTCAGTGTTGCCAAAAAGTTCTTGATAATTTGACACTTCATAGCATGACCTTTATTTATTGAGAGGATTACAGCTCTGAGCAGCCTTCAGAGTAAGTTCTCCATCCAGCTTGCAACGGGTGCAGATGAAAATCAGCTTCCTTGCTTAAACTTGTACCACTTTTTTTTTAATTTTTTTTTTGTTTGGTTTTTTTGTTGGTTAGTTGGTTGGTTGGTTTTTCCCTCTACCATCCCTCAGTTTTTAAGTGCTTGCTTTTAGTTTTTAGGCTTTTGAAAAAAAAAATATTATCCATTGCAATTTTCACATCTGTAGAGAATACAAGTGAAAATTAAAGGACCAATTCTGCTTGTCATATAGATATGAATGATTTATCTATGTGGATTTGGGCAGAACTGGCCCCTGGCTCAATTGGGCTGCCTTATAGTCAGGGTTAAATTCTGTTCAGGCTTGTATTGAGGTGTGTTTCAATTAATTTAGTGTTCTACCAGTATAACTTGAGAGCAGTTTTTCAGCTCTCGAGGTTAATACTGTATGTATAAATCTATGTATTAGGAATGCATACATTTCCTGAAAGGATATTTCTAGTCTGTAATTTTATATTGGACCATTTCTAGCTCACCCTTTACTGCTAAGCTGATCTTTACTCAGGGTTTTTGTATGAAGAAGATGTTGGAAGTCTTCTGCTTCACTGTTGCACAAGAGATGCATTTGTTTATAGGTTCTGTGAACTTCATAACTTTCACTGTTGCCCTGTGTTAATGAGCATAGGATGAGAATACCTACCTCCCTCATCAGGCTTTATTGGCTCTGTGTCACATGTATTTTGAGGAATGATGGTTGTTAATGAATCCTGCTTTGTTTTAAAATGGTTTCATATATACTGGGATTTGATTTTTTTTTTCTTGTTTTCATACTCTGCTGTTTTCTCTTACTCTCCTTGTCAAGTTCTTGCCATGCATGAAAATGTTCTTAAGTGTCCTACACCAGGCTGCACAGGCCGGGGCCACGTAAATAGCAACAGGAATTCCCACCGAAGGTAAGGATACCGTCGCTGGACACCAATCTAGAGGGAACAGTGCCTCCCAACTGCAGCCCTTCTAGCAGTCCATTGGTGGGGGGGTGTGAGTGTCTGTTTCATTGTTTTGTTCTGAAGATTGGCAGATGGTGCTTTGTGTGCTTTATCCATTTTAAGGAGTAACATTTATTCATGTATTTTCTGAGGAGGACAAGTGTGCGTTTGCTTCAGTATGGATGAACTGGCCCACAGAAGACATTTTAAGCATCCTTAGCTTTTGGGGTGGATTTTTTTTTTTTTTCTTTTGATATTCGCTGAATAGCAGTGGTATGAAACAAACGGTGTGACTCCTCAAGGGTATGTCACAGGGAGAAGGAAGAGGCTGCCAAGATCATCAGGACTAAGGCAGAGTTCTTGTACTTACATTTCACTTTCTTCGGTGATTATTTTGTAGTGCATGAAATAGCCACTCTACTCCCAAAATAATGTTTTTTTTTAAAATACACGAGAAACAGCATTTTAGGTACAGAGACATTCTAAGAGGTAGCTTTCTTACTGACCACAGTCTCAACCTGAAAGTCCTTATTTAACTAAAACTGAAGGATAAAATTTTCTGTTAAAGAAACAATATGAAAATGTCTCATTAAATTTAGAAATGAGAAGCTAGAAATGTTAGATATAAATATTCTAGCCAAACAAAAGAAGATCAAGAAAAAAAGCAACTTTTCTATAGTTACCTAAGATTAGTAATAGATTCTTATGGAAGGGATGCCATTGCCTGCTAAATTATGTCAAACAAGTAACAAAATTATCAAAACGTTACTATAATTTTTAGTACATATCATAGTTTTCCCAGGGAACAGCAAGATCTTGCTAATTTCTTTACAGTTTTTAAAAAATCAGGATATATGGACAAGAGGGTGAAAGGAACTATGCAAGTTTCCTATTATCAAATTCTTTTTTTACTGTTAATTGTATCATGAAGGTTTAAGGGACTGCACAGGCACTGGACATTCAGTCTTATCAAGCTCTGGGCTACTAGAGCCCCTCATATTGACTGCATATCTCCCAAAAGACTCTTGTGGGTACCGATTCATCTGCAATAAACTCTGGTACCCCTTTCTTCTCTGCAGTGATGCTGCCAGTAGATGCAGCAAAAACCTCTGAGAAGTCTTTGTGGGAATTACTGCTGCTTGAAGCAGCATTCACGTCTGGTTGAATATCTACTAGAATATTTGAGGTGTCTGGAGAAGAGCGTGTCAGTCGAGCGCAGCTGCCCTCTGGCATGGCTCCAAAAATGCACAGAGCCCCCTCACCCCTCTGCAGAAGTAGGGCAACAAGAGAGGGCTGGGGGGAGTAGTCTGCAGTCTGTGCTCATCTCTTTCTGCAGCTTTTGGGGCATTTTGCTCTGCTTCACTTTTTTTATTCCTTTTTTTTCTCCCTTATTTCCTGTAGAGAAGGGAACATCTGGGAATGCACTGATTTGCCTTTCATTTTAATTTCTTTTCCTGCGGAGAACACAGAGAGCTGCGGTCACATAAGCACGCAATAGACTATGACAAGGAAAGGACCCCCTCCATTGTCAGGTCACAGGTTTTTACAGCTTCACTAAGAGCACCATCTGCTGGCATCAATAAATGTATTTTCCCCCATTCTAAATCTTTTCCAGAAGAATCAGGCTTATTATTGGCACTTCAACAGCAGTTCCACATTTGCAAATTTAATTGAATTTCAATTCAAGTGCAGAAGTTCTTTACATGTTGGAACTAGGTGATCTTTAAGGTCCCTTCCTACCCAAACCATTCTAAGATTCTGTGATTCTATTAGAAAACATGCTTTAGCAGCTGAAATTAATGAAAAAATGCAAAGTATAATATGAGATGTAGATTTAAAGACCCAAAGCCAAATTTTGCACTCATTTATATGCCTAGTAAAAAAACTGGAGTTAATGAAGCTGAATGAGGTATGAAGCAGTGCAAGATTTGGCCTATATGGTATTCTCATTTAAGCTTCTTCAAGAGCCATTTTGTTGGCCACAGTTGTAGATGCATAGACGTCACAAGTCTGCTAGCAGAGCTGCACAATAGGTTCCAGTTTATATTCTCCTCTCCGACTGGTATTTTCACTGGCTGACATCCATGAATAATCTACCCATCTACAGTCAGAGAAGGGCAGATGTAAGATCTACCATGTAACTTGGAAAACAGAATAAAGGAAGTCTATTCTAGAGAACATATAAATATATGACCAAAAAGCCTTTGGAAGCTCTTTTCCTTCAGATTCTTCCTGATGCTGGCTAAGGAGGAGAAAGAGTAATTGGATCAGTACTATAATGTGAAACTACTCAGGACAAGACAATTAAATTTCCTTTCTGTAATTGCAGCCTCTCTGGATGTCCTATTGCTGCAGCAGAGAAACTGGCTAAAGCTCAAGAGAAGCATCAGAACTGTGATGTGTCAAAATCAAACCAGGCATCAGATCGGGTTTTAAGGTATTAGAAATCACTATAATACTTATTATTATGCAGAATTCATCACACATTCACCTAATCTGAGAATTTATATTTTTATACGTTGTATATACATAGATATCTCCTTTAAAGAAGAGTTAGAATTAGGGCTTCTGGATCCAGTTCTCACAGTGTGTATTTCCCACTCAGTTTACATGGGGGAGGGTTGGTAATTATTTTGGCAAATACATGTAAAGCTGAAAAGCTCATTTTTGTCTTAGGCATTGTTTGGTGTAAAGATGACTGCTGGAGTGCAAAGTCTAAGAACAATGTGAAAAAAGTTGGTATCTTTTGGGAATAAACTAATATTTACCGGTAAGTCTTGGTTTTTTCAGCAGGCTTTTACTAGTAAATATCAGTTTAAATTAAACCAGAAGCCCTATTTGCATTGCCAAACTGGTAGTACACCTTTTGGCAGGACACTTGGAAAAATGACAGATAGAGCTTAGATTCCAAAACAAGGTCAGGCTTAGTTCTTTGTCTCTTTTCCCTCAGACACCTTCACTGCCAGGAAGGATAGAAAGAGAGAAAAATTGACTGAAATTTTCACACAGGAAAGACCTTGAAACATTTTGACATAAGTATAGCCTTTTTCTTCATCCATACAGGATTCTGCATTTATCCAAAGCTGTATCCAGCTTTGTGCTGTTGTCTCCTCTTTTGACATACGTGAGTGGAAAAATACTACTTCTAAGGAGCTGAAGTGTGAAAGATACATGTTAGAGGAACTAGACTTCTTGCATGATGGTACCAGCCTTATGGTGATGCCCCAAGAGCTGCAGAATTTCTCCATGGATACTGTGATATCTGTGGGCTGGGATAGCTACATCCCTCCCAGCTGCCTCAAAGAGCGTGGAGGAAGTGCCGCAGCTTTAGTTCCCAGAATTTCCTACTTATCCCATAGGTTGCTTAATATTTAGATGTCTTCTAGATTTAAACTCTGATAGGACTGCTTAAAATGAAAGTTTTCTGCTGTTATTAACATCATCCTCTGAATGGTCTCCTAAAACTTCATCCAATCTTGATTGTCTTTTCAAAAGCCAGTCTTTCCACTGAGAAACAGTTATTTATGGTTCACATCTTCAGCAGATTTTTTTTGTCATGCCTGTTGACTTTGCTTTCCTTCCTTAGGTTGTTTTTGATGGCCTTTATCTTAACTGCCCCTAAATCAAATTGTACAATTTTTCATACAGCGTCCCAGACAGTTTTCTTAAAGAAGAGTTCTTCAAATCCTATTAATAAAAAACACCCTTTGAGGAAACAACACAGTTTCTCACTTGATGGAAAAAAAAAAAAAAAAAAGATCAAAAATGCAGTGGCTTTTACCACTGCTCATTAGAGGAAAGGTACTGATATCAGTTGCCCTACAAAGAAGTCAAGTGCTCAAAAGCAGCATCCAGTTTGCTGGTAAACTCCCTAGGAAGTTGCAATGCAATCTTAACTTTGCTCGTGAGCCTGCCCTGTGTTTTAGGTTTCATAGACAACTCAAATAATGCTTTCATCTTGTCTCCTGCTTCCCTTTTACCTTGAAGTCATTGAAGTATTTGAGGTGAAGAACTTGGGAGTTGTTTATAATATTTGCATACAGGCAACTGATGGGCAGACAGAGGTGGTCTAAGAATAAATCTTGAATATTTGTCTTCATCCGAGTTTCCATCCCACCTGCATTTAGAATTTCTTACTTAAAAAGAAGTGAAATTCATAGGACTTCTGTTCCACAGAAGTTTTGGATTTGCATTGAATGTACAGGATCTGAATTGCATTTTTTTAGCTAAATACAGATTATCTTGAGACAGGATCAAAATTTATTCATATCAGCTCACTGTATAAATAAACCCCCTATGTTATGTGAGGAAGTAGTGTCTAAAGGAACAATCATACATAAATCAAAGGGAATGGTATGACTTTCCTGGGTGATCTTTACATAAATATCCTGACTAAATTCTATGAAAATGAATTAATTCAGAAAAGCATAATATTCAAAAACTATTACTTCATATTTATCACATTCCATTTTATCAGTCAATATGATAATACCTCTGGTCTTGACTGAATTTATGTTCCTGTGACTATTTCTTTGGTTTCCTCTGGTTATAAATGCAATAGAGGGGGGGGAGGGAATAAAAATTTAAAAAAAAAAAAAAAAAAAGGGGCAAAATAAAAAAGACTTGATTATATGATTCTTGATTCCAGCAGAAGCACCTCAGATGTGCTGTTCATCATCTTTACCTCCTACTAACGCAGCAGGTAGACGTGCAGCACTGTGTAGCAGTTGCTCCCTGTGACTTAGTCATATATCACTTTCTTATATCGGCAAGATTTGCAGGCTCTGACCTTCATTTACTTGCTTTGGGAGCTGATGACTTCTGTGGCCACATGCAGAAGACGGCATGACAGTAGAGTTCACTACAACATTCTTTCATTGACATTTCATATATTTCTCCAATGGCCGAATGAGATCAGTCAAAGCTTCTCCTGACTATCCTCCCTGATCTGAACTGAAAGAAAAGCTTCACTGATACAGTTTTATTCTTTATTCATTGGCAGAACCTTCCTTGGGGTGTCTGTCTGTATATCAGGGATCACAGCTCCTGCCAGAACCTTGCAGGGTGAGCAGGACCTGCGAGGCAGCAGCTCAAAGACAACAGATTGTGAGACTCTCTTGTGTATTTCTCAAGATGAACATGGATTTGTATATAGGGGGATGAAAGAGGACCAGCTCCTTTGGATTGTATACAGCTCTGTTGAAAGAAATTCAGAGTAAACTCCATTAAGTGGAGCTTCCAATGCTATTTTTCCTTTTTGACATTTAAAGGATTTGTCCAAACATCATCTGTCAGTCTGCTTGCCCCCTTTTAATTCACCTCCCAAAAGAGAAAATGTTTGTTACTTGATGCAATTACATGAGGAAAGGGAAAGCCCGAAGTATTTTAAAACAGAATTTTAAAATACTTTTAACTACAGAAAACATTTAGTGGTATTAGAATTAATTTTGTCCAGGGTTTCTTCAAGAAAATACATATTGTTTGTCTGCTGAAAATAACCAAACTAAGCAAATGCAATAATTTATTGCTGTCTCTTGAGTACAAAATAACTAAGATTTTCTAATCTGAACTATAAATTATGCACAGACACAGTAAACTGAACTGCATCTAACAAACTTTACATATCTTTAATTTCTAGGCCCATGTGCTTTGTTAAGCAATTGGAGATCCCTCAGTATGGCTACAGAAACAATGTCCCCACCACCACACCCCGCTCCAACTTGGCCAAGGAACTAGAGAAATACTCTAAGACTACGTTTGAATATAACAGTTATGACAACCATGCCTATGGCAAGAGAGCCATAGCTCCCAAGGTGCAATCCAGGGATATATCCCCCAAAGGATATGATGGTAGGAGGTGCACACTCTTATACATGAGAGACAAGTTTGAAGTTAATCATGTTGTTGTATATGTAAACATCATACAAATAAGACATGTTTTCATGTTCATATAGCAATGCTGTCATGTGTAAGTTATTTTAAAGGCCTTTTTAGAAAAAGTTGAATTATACGGTTCTTGCTTCAGGATTGTTGCACAGAAGAACATCTCCAGCTATTAAGCTCCTGGGATGTGTTGAGATTGCAGTAAAAGCTAAGTAATAGATCTAGTCCTTATGTTGCTATCTGGGAGACCTGGCCTCAAGGGTCACATCAGGATTCTCGCTTCCATACAGTAGTTCAGGTAACCCATAAAGATAATGTATTTGCTCTGTGGGCATATGGAAGTAGAAAACATGGATCTCATTGCACTTCAGAAATCACTGATACTTATTTAATGAGGCATTTCTGCTCATTTTATTCTCATGAATACACCTGTTCAATTCTCTGGAAAACCTAACATAAGTAACATGTTTAGGAGCAGGCTGAAAGTGGCTTCAGTTCAGGAGAGGACAATGGATAGGGTCTGTCAGGCAAGAGGATTTTTATTATGGGGCAACAGTGAATTGCAGGATAAAGAATGAGGATTTGGTTTGCAGCTTTTGAGGACATCAGAAATTTTTCAGAGATATATATATAAAATAAGTGCGTGTATATATATATATATGTATACACACATAAATAAACAAGCTGTGCCTTTGTTTTGTTTTGGTGTGGTTTGGGTTTTTTTGTTTGGTTGGTTTTGGTTTTGTTTGTGGTTGTTTGTTGTTTTTGGTTTTTTTTGTTTTCTTTTTATTTTAACAGGGTTTGGGGGGAGGGGTAAAATATTTGATACTACTCTCTGACTACCATAAGAAATTTCAGGCAGGTGTCAGATTTTTGTTCAGGTAAACAGAAATAAATATATTATAGAGAACAATTTGTGCTGTTGCTTGAACACAGACTGACATTCAAAAAGTAGGTAAGGGGAGAAAAGGAAAATTGCTACACCTCTTGCCTTCATATTTCTCATACTTTGGATATTTTGCTTTTTTTATAGAATCAACAGGGATGCTCTTGAACTATAGCAGAAAGGAGAACGGTTGTGAAAGGCAGCGTATTTTTGAGTAAAAGTGACCTTTTCTTTCCTCTCACACACTCACCTTGTTTGCCTGTATCAGAATAAGGACTTGAACATTATTAAAAGTAAAGCACTAACTCTAATTGTAGTTAGTAACCCGAGTGTAGGTAAGTGAAATATCAACTGTTGTGTGTATGCTCTGTCCACTCTTGCAGAAAGGAAACAATCATAGTATTGCTGAGGATCCTAGGGACATGCATATTTTCAGATCAAATTACTGATGCATAAGGACCTGACATATATTTTTTCTCATTTAAGACCCCAAAACCAGTTTTCAACTGTACTTTTTTTTTTTCCCAAATCACAAGAACTTGAAAATACATGTAACATTTAACAAAAGTTTAACAGTGACCTTAAATAATGGAAGGCTTGGATGATATAGGTCACTGTCCTGATGCACACTCATCTCCCTTTGACATAAATAGGAATTTTCCTTGGAGGTAAGCTTAAGATTACATTGCTTCACTGCTCCATAATATGAGCCAGAGAGGAAGGAGGGACACTACATGCATGTGATTCATGCTGGTATAGCAAGTTTATGCTATTCTTGCATATTCAGAACAGCTGAAGCCTGTTGTAGCTGAAGAAGGTTGTTTGCCAAAAGAAGGCTAATACCCTATGGATTTGTTCCATATCCCTGGCTCTGCACACATGGAACCTGGTTCCAAGTGATGTGTGTGCTGTTCGACCAGACAGGCATACTAACACAGTCCCAGAGGTGGGACCTAATTTGAGTTTTTCTTTGTACCCTACCAGTGATTTTCAGGAAACCTTTAGGATTCACATCTCTGTTGTTCCAAAAGCACCCCATCATATTTAACTAAAATTGGCAAAGGATTTTGAAGTTCTTTCAGGAAAATCGTCTGAATTAATAGAACAATGAACTGAAATCCTGGACACTCTGAAACTGGTCAAAGTTTTGGCATCAACTGTCAATGGAACAAGGATTTTGTTGACAGTTACTGTAAATTATTGAAGATGAAAGAGATTTCTAGAAGAGGCTCTTCACTTAAAAGAGACACTTTTCCTCAAGAAACTTGTCAGAATTTTTAGGTGATTCTATATTAGTGTGTAAAAATATTAATTATTGCTACTAAAGCCATTATGGAGGTGCAGAGTGCACACCTATTGTGTCAGCAAAACACATACATATAAAAGCAGATTTAGTTCTGAAAATTCATCCTGAGAAACCTTAAAGTAAGCCTAAGTTTGGGAGAAACTTGCACTTATCAGCCCTTTAGTTTTTCTGACTATATGAGACAAATAGCATAAGGATATGAAAAATCAAAAACTTTTTTTCAAACCTTTTTTAATTTTAAGCAAGCACTGTATTTTCATCATCAGAGAAAGGGATTATATGTTTAGTAATTGTATGGTTGTGAGTGACGTAAATATATGAAGCTCCTTTGGATTGTTTTCTTGATTTTTTTTTTCCAGTAAGTAAAATGCAAACAGAAAATGGATACTTTGTGTTGTGCAGTAGGATGCTACAGTAATTCTTGAGAAATTTTGTGCTTGTGGGCTTGTTTTTTCATTTGAAAAGAGTTTCATAGTGTATTAGAAGTTTGGCTTATGGTATACAGAAGTAGATATAAGAACAGCTGAACACAGCAGGCAGTGGAGACAGCAACTCTTTCAGTTGCTCAGGTGATGACAGGAGCTCCACTCATTCCACCAATGGTCCTAGGTCCTTCCATCAAAGCGTGGAGAAAATGTTAGGAGAGGGATTCATCTGACCATAGCTAGACTTTTATAATATTCACACCTATGTCTGAGCTCATTACTTCATTCAGATCCAAGGAGAAAGACAGACACTTCTCCAATTCATTTCTTTCAGAAGTACTTATAAATAAGTGGTCAGGTGAATCATTGCCTGAAAGTTCCTAATTTTTTTCCACTGCCTGTATAGGAAGCCTATAATGACTAGGTCAGATAACTGAAGTTAGGAGAGATGAATCGCCTATTGTACAAGTCAGAAAAAGTGTTGAAAATCTAATTAATTTCCATAACACATTCAGTATTTAGGCAACACTGGGGATGAAGGTGCCTGGGCAGAATTTAATTCCACACCAAATATCTTCCTTTTGTCCTCTAAGCTGTTGTGATCTCTTTCACTCCTCCATTGTTAATTAGCCAGAGGAGCCTGTAGGTTTTGAGAGGTTCTTTGTAACAAGCCCCTAGGCATATCTGATGGGAGGCCTGTTTGGGTATGCAGCTGGTCAGACCTGTGTCTGTTATTAAATGGGAAAGGTGTTCTCTACATTTGGTTTCAGTCTGGATCACGAAGCGTAGGTGGACTACAGAGCTTCCAAAACCTGGTGCCACAGGGTTGGGTGACATATCAAGCAGAATTATCTGGTGTCGAAACAATGCAGCTTTCCCTTTATTAAAGGTCAGCTTGATTTAGTTCATTATAAATTGATGATCATTGTTTCTCCTGAAAAGCTAACGTGAAAAGAACAATCTGGGTTATGTGACTCATCTTCAAATGTACAGCTACAGTAAAGTTAAAATACCCACAGCCATTGCTCTCTAAATAAGTTTTGGTGAAAGTATTGGTAAACTAAAATCTAGCAATTGGTTAGCATGCTTATAGCACTTTACACCTTCAAAGTGTTTTGCAAGTGAATCACAACACAACTAAATTTTAGAAGCAACTTTCTTTTTATAATGGAAATTAATTTGAGAGATAACATAGTTTGACCAAGGCCACAGAGGAGTCCATATCAGAGCCTGCATGAGTTCCTGACAGTTAGTTCTATGTATAAAGCTGCCTCTGCTGTCAAAACTTGAATGGTCTTGCTTAAGCTTAGCACTTGTTCTCACATATATATATATATATATATTTAATTCCTCATGTAGTATGTCTCTTATATGTCTAAATGTGATCTGCTATAAGAAGACTAACATTTTTTGCAAGTGACAGAAGTCTTACTTGTTCAGATGAATTTAGAGAGATATTTCTAATTTGTGACCTTTGGTGGTACAGGGTGCTTGCTGTGTCAACACAGTAGAAACTGAATTATTCAATTATTTCCTTCCTTAATTATAGGCAAATTCTTGTGTGTCTTGGATACCATTACAAAGTAACAATAGATAAATGCCGAATTTTTAATGACCACCACTGACTACTATGTTAATAATGAAACTCTTAAGAAATAGTTCACGGATTTATTATTAGTAAATTGCCTGCTGGAGTAGTGCTACTCTGCATTCAAAACAAAGAAAAGTGATGAATGTTTAGCATTCACTTCACTTAAAAAAAAAAAAGTCACACCCTGTGTGTTATGTGGCTTTCCTGAGAAAACTCCATCTGTTATGAATTAAGCGAAACACTATTTCCTTTACAGTAAAAATAACATTATGATTTTTTCTCCATTTTTTAGAGAAAGGAGGGTGACATAAGGTCTAGCAGAAATATTTTGCTTTCAGTATCTTCTTTTGAACCCTGCCTGCCTACCAAAGCAGCCTGTGGTTCACAAATGGGCTATGCTCATGGGAGCAGATTGTTATATGTATGTCTGCTCAGACAAATACACCTGAAGAGTCTGGCATTTAAATGGAGCCCATCATGGAAAAGCTCTAGCTAGGGCCTGACCTTTTTTTGTATAGCTCTCTAATCAGCATGCTAGTTGGTTATTGTTATACTGTTCTGTAAGGGCAGATCTCTGCAGTATACGTTTCCATCTTAAGGGGAAGTAGTTGCTGTAATATGCACGTACGTGTCCTCTGACCTTGACTTTTATTATTTTATGAAAATACATAAACTTTTAGATTTGGAAGACGAGTTCACACTTTCTTGCATTTTACACAAAAGCTTTTAAAAACAATTCTCCTGGGAAGCGGGTTGGAGAAATGAGTGGGCTAATAGGGCTGGTTGCCATTATTACTGTAATACTGTTGGCTGCAAAGAGCATTTCTCAAAAGCAGCAACAGTGCTGCACTGTGTTTAGATAGGCTGGACATGGGCTTTGTCAGTGCCTCAGCTCTTCTGCTTGCAGGTTCTGTTGGTCAGAGTACGGCTGAGTGCTGCTCTCCTCAGCAGGAGCAGGAAGGGGTGTCTTTGGTCCATACTGTTTTTATGCAGAGTTGTAGGTGCTTGGGTTGCTTGAAGGTGGGGACATTACACCTATATCTGTTTCCATTTATACAGCCACAGCTTCTGCCTTTCTGCAAGCCATGGTAAAACTCACATGTGGACACTACCTTTCTCCTTCCAACTTCTTCCTCTCCTTTCTGATGGCCAGTGTCATATTTGCATGTGGTGCAGGAAGAAGAAACCTTTTAGGAAGCATGGGTTGTCTGAGGTCATATGAGTAGCACTATTGCCCAGAAACCAAGCCCATCAGCCTTACAGTGGGTTTGGTCTCCAGCAGCTCTGGGGAGTCTAGGCCTTCAAATAACAGTTTGCTCTGTAAATAGGAAAAGATCCCATAGTGTTATGTTGCCCCTCATTAATAAACATGAATGAGCTAAGCAGATCCTACCTTCTGTCTAACTATATATGTGGGGTAAAAGCAGTGTTCCTGTGTTTTTATTGTTTTCTAAATCCAGCTTGTTTGTCAGAACAATTCATAATCACATCATGCAGATTTTTACAGGTTATTTCATACAAACTCACATGTGTAACATATAAAAGTCACAGACAGAAATCAAGAAATACAGCTATCATTCTTATTGTGGGCTTTTTTTTTGGCATTGGTTACTGTTGCTCATTATAAATTTCACCTCCAGCAGTTTGTTTTTCTCTTCACTTATGCAGAATGTTCGTTCCTTTGAGTCATCGTTGTCATATTTCTTCCCACAGCTAAACGCTACTGTAAGAATTCGAGTCCAACCAGCAGCACAACAAGCAGTTATGCCCCTAGCAGCAGCAGCAATATGAGTTGTGGTGGAGGCAGCAGTGCCAGCAGTACCTGCAGCAAGAGCAGCTTTGACTATACTCATGACATGGAGGCAGCGCACATGGCTGCTACTGCTATTCTGAATCTCTCCACTCGCTGCAGGGAGATGCCTCAGAACCTCTCCACTAAGCCTCAGGATCTCTGTGCGAGGGTAAAAATTAGTGATTCTGTTTGTTGATGAAGATTTCTCTTTACTGCACTTGCTCTTTGGCCCTGACAGATAGAAGAATAGCTTTAGTACATCTTGCCTTTTTTTCTTTTGCTTTTTTTTATATTTTCTTTCCCTCAAAATTAACATAATCTGGTGGCTCTGCTAAAGCAGGGAGAAAAAAGAAAAGATGCAAATTGCTCACAAGTATCTGGGGAAATTCTGATCGGTATATAAACTGATGATGCTGATAGCATGTACTCCTTTATTTAATTTATCTCTTACTAGTAAGATCTATAATTATAAGATATGTTTGGATTGTTCAAGTGGTATTAATTGCACTACTTTTTTTTTTTTTTTTTTGCTAAACACAGTCTGATTCATACATTCTGTGAAAGGATTAAGATGTAAAGATTTCTTTTCATTTAAAAGCCACAAATGTGACCTAAGTTTGTAAGATCTAGTACACAGAAATCTATGCTATTTGTATGGTATCATTTTTTGCCTGTCTGTGATATCACAGTTCTTCAGCCACTGCATGAATTTTAAATTAACAAATCCTTTAGCACAGGTGACTTTAAATGTGCTTAACAGCAGTGCATGGTCCCTAATGTTCTGTATGTTCACAGCGCCTCAGTATGTTATGAAATGACTATACAGGTACAAAAAAAATGCTTTAGTTGTTAAGCTTTCTATATGAAGAAGAGCAGAGCACTATTAACATTCCTTGAAGCTTTACCATAAGATTTTTTTTTTCACCATAAACTTTAACTTTTGTCTCTGATAGCTGTTAAGAAATGATTATTTAACATGCACCAGCAAACAGTGTGGTGCTACCTATAGGAGACCACTAGATGGCTAAGTAGGCAGATGCAGTGCAGAGGAAACATTTTTATTGTGCTTATAGAGGAGCTTTTGAGCTGGCAGACATGTTCTGTTCTTCTACATATAGACAAAGGTTTTCTTCCCCTCATCGGGTGAAGCCCTTTGTTCACTCGTAACAAAGTAAACCTGTAGCAGGAGGCATGATTAATAATCACGATTTAAGCCAGAATGGCTGATGACTTTGTTTTCAAATGCTGCTTTTTATATTAATTTATTTAATACTGTTCAAGAGGGAAATCTCTTTCTGGTGTGTAAATAAATGCAGTTGTTCTCTATATCAACAGAATGGAAAAAGTTGGATTAAAATGCTAAAAATCTTCTGTGTTAAAAGCAGAAGGGGCCTTTTTCCTAATGTGTCACTTTAAATTGAAACAGAAGGAAAGAATCTGAGAAGACAAGCAAGTATTTTCTAAATTAAATTAGCAGGATAGCAGCAATTAGATATATGCTTTGACACAAGGCAGCAATACAGAAAGAGATTTGCATTCACAGGGTTTTCCTGCAGCTCTGTTGTTACTCAAGAGGAGGGAAAGTCGACAGACATACAAGGAGTCAGTTGCATTCACAGTAGTTTTGCAACTAAATTTCTCCTGGAGAGTTTCATTTTTGAAAAGATGAGGGATTCTCTGTGGGCATTTGTATTTTATCTGTCCTAAGTTTTTTTAAAATTTGTCTTCATTTTAAGATATCTTATGTCTCCTTATCTAATATAACAGACAATCCTTGTTTGCTTCCAGAACAGGAAAAGTCAGAGAACATACTCTCCTCCTTTTTCACAGTACCTCAGTCACAGCAGAAAGTGGCATAGCTAGTGTTGCAACTATTCTGCTACCTATATTTATTGATTGAAAAGATAGATATATGAAATGTTAACTCATTTGCATCTGCAGGGAAGGAACTGTGAAATTTGAATGTATTTCATCACTGGGAAATGGTGTCCAAAAGGACTTGTTTAATATTCTGACTTTATCTATTCAAGTATTGACTGTTGAAGTTAATAAACAAAGAAACAAAGATTATTTGATGCTAGCTGGTTTGTGTTACTTTAATCAGTCAGAGAGAGGTGTCAGACTAGAAAGAAGAATTAGGCAGATGTTAACTCATAGATACTCACCTGTCACAGAGTAAGTCAAGAACAAAAGGACAATGACAAGAAAATGCCTGTAGAGATTTCTCCTTTTTATTCCAAATTTTGCACCTGTGTGCCGGGTGGCAGTAGGGGTAATGAAGACTCTCCCTTCTTCCCCCAAACATCAGATTAGCCATTCAGGAAGAAATGTACTTTAACAGCATTAATGTTGTGTAACAGCATCATGCTATGTGTGGGAGGGGGCTCAATGCTTACAATCTATACAGGAATGGAAAAGCATTTTATCATTCTGCTAGGCAATCAGATTCAAGAAGAGGTAACAGTTTGCTGGTGTGAAGCTGAATTAACAATATTTTTCTTATTTTGACAGAATCCTGATATGGAAGTCGATGAAAATGGGACGTTGGATCTGAGCATGAACAAGCAGAGGCAGCGAGACGGTTGCTGTACCATTTTGACCCCACTGGAGCCAATGTCCCCACAACGGCAAGCCGTGATGAATAACCGGTGTTACCAGCTGAACGAGGGTGACTGCTGGGACTTGCCGGTGGACTACACTAAAATGAAGCCCAGTAGGATAGATGAAGATGATTCCAAAGAGATTAATGTATGTCTTTTTTGTCTACTAGTTCTTGTTGCAACCTCATTTTGTTATCTCATTAAATTTCTGAAATTTGGAGGGAAAAACAAAGCAAAATTAATATGTGATAAAAAATACTGGTTTTCTACAAAAAGGACTTTCTGCTGGTTAATCTTTAGAACTATATCGTGCTGGCACACATCTGATCTGTGACTAAGTTCCATAAGACAACATTTGAACCATGAATGTGAATCATGTTTTCTAACAGTATCATCTTGTTAACAAATATTTTCTGCAGTAGAGATGTTTTGCTATATCCAGATTGTGTTACTCTGTGTAAGTAAGTTGACATAACTGTGAAATACTGGGATAATCAGCTCTCAGGACAAGATAGCCTCCTGCATTTGAAAACCATAAATGATGTGCTGAGTATTTGAAAGCATGTATTACTTAGAAATCAATTTAAACAAAAGCAGCAGAGTATAATTTAAGCTTTCAACTGTTTCAGCTAATCTTCTTCTAGAATACTTATACACTCCTGATAGCTCTGTGTGTGAAAGGGCCTGTATTAATGAAATACTTTCTTTCAAGAATACAATGAAGGGATATTGGAAATCACTGTTATTTTTCAATTCGTAATACCAAGACAACAACAAAACCTTTTAAACAGAAGAGGCAAATATAGAAAATACATTACTGAATTTCTTTTACTTTTCAAAACTTAGAACAGCCAGGACACTAAAGAGGTCTGATGACAAGGTTCAGTGCCAGCACTTTTATTCATCAGGTTTTAACCCTTATCCACTGTGCAGTTTACAATCCTGCACTCAGAGCACTTTAGCTGTTTGGAGACTTCTAGAGATTGTTCTGTTTTTTCCTTGGTTTGTAACAGAAAATTAGGCTTATCATTTGTATGTAGCACATCTCTTGCTGATTTTACTTAGAACGTGAAACGATTGTCAGTAACTTTGAAACAACGAAGTAGCATTTTCACTAGATACACTAAATGCATTCTGGATTTGGTATTAATTCCAGTTTTGCTATTAGTTTCACTGAAGCTAGGAGGGAATCTGTGGCTATCTAGGCAATGCAAAGTAAACCAGACAGTACAGCATGCTTTTTTTTTCAGAGCAAGCAGGACTCCCCATTTCTACTGTGGTGTTTATGGCACCATCTGCAGGAACTGCTGAATCAATGCATTCAGCCACTAAATTCCTGAAATAGATTATTTTGGATTTCTGAATGCATCAGTAAAGTTAATTACCAATTATGTAATTCTGTTTTGCCAGGCAGATCCATTGAGGTTTGCCCCAGATTGAGATTCTATGTGTAGATGTTGATTGCTTCTGTTTCACATTTGAGACATTCTAAACAGTTTAAAATGTTATTTAAGATAACTTTTTATGCAGAAGATACTGTATTTAGTAATCTTTTTTTTCCCATTTCCTCTGTTTTGGAGTGCCTTTATAAAAAAAATAAAAATACTAATTCTTTTAAAGCAAAGTTATATGACAGATATAGAAAAAGCTGTGTTTTGCCCCTTTTTTTCTAGTTAAATAAACTATATATTCTACATACTGTGAAGCCTTCATTAAAATAGCCAAATATTATTTAAAGATCTAATAGGTGAAATAATATAAAACAATTTCATTAATTTTCTCTGGAAGAATAGGATAAAATGGGAGAGAACCTCTTATGACTCTGTTTTGTATTACTTTGTGTGAGTTGCAACCTCACCTAGCTGAAACTGATGTCTGTGTATTTACCTGTAGCCAGAAGATTTGGATCCTTTCCAGGAGGCGCTTGAAGAAAGAAGGTATCCTGGTGAAGTTACAATCCCAAGTCCTAAACCCAAATACCCTCAATGCAAAGAGAGCAAAAAGGATTTAATAACGTAAGCATAATGTGAGGTGAAATTATTTTTCTCCTTTTAACCTTCTCTCTCTTTGTCTTTTTTTTAAACAAACGAGTACATATACGCCTTGCAGTATGAGCATGCAACATTTGCAGCATATAAATGTTTCAAACTGCCAGTTAAGTAAAGTGATAAGCTAACGTGTATTTGCTTGTTCTTAATGATGCTATATTGTATTGAGACGCCATTTTCATTTAAACCTGTTCATTTTGCAGCTTTTCGATTAGGATGCTTAAAACCCCTTGCAGTCATTGCAGCTAAACTGGAAACAATGAAACTTTTAAAAGTTTTTTTTTAAACATACTTACTATTTTGGCTGTTTTTGTTTTTGTTTGGTGGCAGATGTCCAACACCAGGGTGTGATGGGAGTGGTCATGTGACTGGTAATTACGCCTCACATAGAAGGTGTGACTTCATTTTTTTCATGGTGGATTCTGTCTTTTCAATTTATTGTTTTCAGCTTACCTCAACAATGCTGTCAAAGTAAAACGTTGAACTATGTGTTAACCCTTTGAGTAATATATGTTGATCTTAAAAGCATGCTAATTTGTGTGTTGTATAAACGTCTTTTATTTTTAAATAGATTACTGAAATTTCCAAAGTATTCTTAAACATTTAACTAGTTAACCCAGGAATCTCAAATATTTTTTTTTACATTTTATTAGTTCATAGAGAAACAAACAAACAAACAAGAACATTAACAGTATGTAATTTTGAAAGTAATGTTGATACCTAAATATATTCAGAGGGTTAACTATATTACAAAATTGAATATTACAGCACTTGCCCCATCGCTTTTCTGCATTACAAACTTTTACTTTATAATTTTTATGTTGTGTTTGTTTGGGAGTGTTCAGTTAATTAGAAGATTAACTTACTTGTATGTCCTGCCATGTCTTGCAGTTTATCTGGCTGTCCCTTGGCTGACAAAAGCATTCGAAGTATGCTGGCCACAAGCTCACAAGAACTCAAGTAAGATATAAAGAACGAATATTTTCTTTATAAATATCTATTTGAATGCAAATTGTGTCTAGTTGTATCAGAAATTAGAAACACTGTCTGGAGAGTTGCTGCAGAAGGGGCTGATACTGCTTGGAACATGCGTTGAAGTCACTAGAAATTCCATACAGGCTGGCTCTATACAAGTCTGTTGACTTAGCATTTCCTTTTGTGTATTCATTAGGTGATAGGGATGCACAAAAGTCACAACTTCTGGAATTTCATCTAAATGTTTGAATTCCTATTAATTTTTTTTCTGAAAGTTGGAGTTTGCTAGTTAGAACAGAAAATACTGATGATATTAGATTGATTGAATACTTCTGATTAGATAACTAGTAAAATGCTGTAGTTTCTCTGACACAGAACAGAGGGAAAAGAAAACTTTGTTTTTCCCTAATGTTTGCATTGTTTTCCCCAGGTTTGTATCACTGTTACCAGCTTAATGCATTTTCTCATTTGACTGTTTTTTAGTATTTTCCTAGTTATTCCCCTACTTAAAACTCATTCTTTCAGTTCCCTGGAGTAACTACTTTGAGCAATGAAAGTTAGAGAATCATGAGACTTAGCTTTGATCTGTCTCCCTGCACCATACACTCAGCTGCAACTCTGTATGTGGAAGAACTATAGCATTTCTTCGTGCTATGAGATACTGGTACTCCTGAGTTGGTACTATGGTTAACATGGAAAGATGTTGACAAGTAATGAAGAAAAATTGGGTAGGGAAAGTATGAATAGACAGCTTATGCTGCCATGCTAAGCAGTATTTTGTCTTTACCATACATGAGTGCCTTAAAAAGCATTTACAAAGTTCAGTAGATGTCCTGATGAAAAAAAGCAAACCTTGATGTAAAGCATGGGAAAGATAAGAAAGCAAGCATGAGAAAGCTGCTGAAGTAAGATTGCTCTCAGTTTTAGCCACCCTAGTCACTACATGAAAACAATAGGTACAAAATTTATAATGTTTTTCCCACTCAGTCAAAAATAACATTTTTAAACTCTCAGTTTAGAACATAATGGTATATGCTGCTAGAAGAGTATGTGATATGCAAGGGGAAGGAATGTAAACTATATCAGGGAAAACATGTAAGTGTAAGTAGAGTAAGACATGGGCACATAACCCCAGACAAACTCAGGTTTGAACCTAGATTCTGGGTTGGGATGGGTCAGGTGAATTACAAGGAAATGTAGTTGCACAAACAAAACACAGACAAAGCTTTTGGGGCAGCAAGAATAACACTTCAAGCACATACTTTGCTGCTTTGACCCTTTATAAAGTTTCCATTTGTGTTAGGAAGGTATTCCTGAACTACCCCATCTCCTCTGCCTTTCTCAAGCATCTGCACTCAGGCCTACTTAATAGAGAACAGGAAGAAATAAAAAGTTAAAATCACCTAAACTTGAGAGCCCAGTCCTGTCTCATGCCATTCTCTACCTATTTCAGGTTTTGCCTAAACAAAGAGAACAAAATTAAGTCTTGTTTAAAGTCATATTTTTGTGTTTAACATCTATTTACTTAGCATTTAGTACAAATTATTATTTCATGGTTATACCTACTGAACACATAAAAACTCTCATAAGTAAATTCAAAAGTTAGGAAATGTCAGAATTTTAAGCAGACTGACTTAATTCAGTTCTTTTTTGCATTTTCATTGCAAGACAATCCCTCAATTCCTGATAATATATTTTTCCATAGGATAAAAAAAATAATTTGTTGCATAGGGCAGTCAGCAATCATTGCACAAGTAACTAATGAATTTGTTGTTTTCCTCATTATCCCATGTGTTGCCCTGTCTGTTACTCACTGCACTTATCTCAAACTGTTCTTTCAAGATATAACTACTAATTCACTCACACGTTTATCACTTACATATGCATCTGAGTGTTTCCTAATTAATTTATCTTTATATAAAAGAATAAATTTATTCTCATCTCCAGTGATACTCTGAAGTCAGGATTGGTTTTATCCCCATTTTAAAGCCAGAAAAATTTAAGCATGTAATTTTGGTTGCTCAGTTTGAGACTTCTAGGATTCAAGTTAGAGTTCTTCACACTATAGAGAACTATGTATGTTCAAAGACAAGTGCACACTGAATTTTCTTGGAGCTGTGGGAATTCAGCAGTTCTACATGATGAGTGACTCACATTTTGTGAAAATAGATGATCTCTACAGAAAAAGCAGGATGGAGTCCAGTGTTCCAGAAAAGCCATGGGACTGTCCTTTCTCCTCCCACAAAATTCTGATCAGTGCCAGCTTCTCCTTGGTCCATTCACTTTGTCCTCTTTTCCGTCATCATTTTTTTCTGTGTTGCTCCCTGTCTCAAGCTCCTGGTCTAATCAGCCCATCTCCTGCTTCCATCATATTTATATTTTTATTGTCCTGTATCTCTATGTCCTCCTGAAGTTGGTACAAAGGGAAAAATAAAGCATCTTCACATTTCTCACATATGTTCAAAAGCAGGGAAGTAGGAGTCCTATGGATGGCAGCACCCTTTATACAGCTCTCATTTATGCTTTTTTTCTCTGCCTAGGATGGAAGAAGATGTGGTCATGTAAATGATAATGTCTATGTACAAAACAGCTAAAACAAAGCTACATAAGTGATTTTGGTTTTGGAATTTTTAAACTGTGGAGTACTTCATTTACATCTGTTATAACTCTGGGTGTGAAGTCTAGGGGTATAATTTCCTTGCTTTTAAAAAGAGCTAGCTGACAAGAAGCAGAAATTCCATCATATGGGATCATACTGGCTCTCTGTCAGGTCACCAACCACCACGGGAAGTTTTGATATCCGTTATATAGGTCACCTGAACTACTGTGATAGCAACCAGCAGTAGAAGATAGGATGTTTTGCATGGACTGGCACCAGGAGGAGATGGGGAACACTGCTGGTGTGTTTCATAATATTTGCTGACAGCAGAATAGTAGTGAGTGCCAGTAACCTTGGCTCTTGCCCCAGGCTCTAGAGAGAAATGTATACATATTTTTTACCTATAACCCAAGCTGAGATCCCTTCTGTCCTGTCCCTACCAATTTCTATTGTTCTCATCTCTTCTTCATCTTTTATTCCTTGTTCTGATTTTCAATGTAGTTGTTTCCAGTCATCCATAAAGATTCCAAACTCTGTAAAATTTCTGGCAAATATATTTTTAATGCAATTGATGGTGTGGCAGAAGTACTGATAGTGCAACATAGGGATCCTATTTCTGGACTGCATAGTTTGGAAAAGAATTATACTTCTATGGTTTTGCCATGCATAGATTACATAGGAAATATTACATATGTGCTGTTAAAGCCTTTATATCACATTTCACCAATCTGTGATCTCCTTGTGTATTGTACAACACCCACAAGTTAAGTACAATGCAACTTCCTAACTTCCTAACTGCTATAAAATAGCAGACACTTCAAATAATATTAATGAACAACATCATTCAGAAAATACTCATGATCAAAATAATATAAGAGTTTGAAAAGCCTAGAGAGAAGTTTATTTTGTTTAACAGTTTTGTTCACTGTATTGCCTGTTGGTAGTTGTGGCTCCATGGATCCCATGACCTGCATTTCCTTACCCCCAGAAAAATAATGTTACATCTTTCAAATTAATTGTTTCAAGGGCAGCATATTATACTTTACCTCCAATGCTTCTCTTCTGTAAGGCTTCTTGGTCAGGTTTACCATGCAGATTGTATGATTTTCCACTTTTACCCAAAGCCCAAGTGGAAACATAAGAGTCTTTGTGCATAGTTTATCAGCAGACCAAAGTAGTTACACAGCCTGGTCAGTGATCTCCAAATAACAGAAGAATTTCTTCAGCTTTATTTCTCAGTTTACTGCTGCTGAAAAAAAAAAAAAGAAAAAAAAAAAAAAAAGAGGTCAAGAGCTTTAAGGGTCTCTGAAGAAATTAATATCTGGCAAGAATCCAAGCTTTTCCAGCAGAAAGATTTTGGTTGTAGCACTTGTAAAATGCAACTAATTTTTAAAGGACCTAGGGACACTGTATTGATGACTAAACTTAACTATGATGGGAAAGCAATTAACAGCCCACCCAGTGACAGCTACCAATATTAAAATATTCATAAGCTAAATCCAGTTTAATCCTACCCAGGGGCTTTTCCTTATCAGTTTTCTTTATTTATGTCTTATCATAAAAGGGTTTTTTAACAGTTACAGTTACTTTAATACTGTAATCGCATTGTAGAATTTTAAATGCTTTTAAAAACCCAACATTTTTAAGCATTTTAAAATTTATTAAAAATTAACTTTTAAAAATCCCAAACCAAAATTAATCTTTGTTTTTAAAAGGATATATCTTCATCATCACTAAATCAATCCCAGCCAAAATGCAGCGTACTAACTGAGGATGATTCTACTCAATGTGCTGCCAATATGGGAAGCAGAGAACCTGGATACCAGGGATTCATGGAAATTACAAACTTAGTTCTACTTAGTGCTACTTAGATTTAAAAATAATAATAGTTTTTCAATGAGCACAGTTAACTAAACATAAGCTTGGTCTACCATGGAGCTGAGTATCAGATTCTCGAGATTTATCCTTTGTTCTTTCGGGTCTGTTTTCTGCCAGAAAATCCCATTAGTGCTTATAGTAAAGAATCTGAACCTCAGAAAGAGTTGCAGTTCATCCAGGTGCCTACAAGTTTGGATACTAATCTAACACTGTTGTAATATGCCCAATACTTCAGTCTCAAAGCACCTGTGTCTCTGTGTAGATTTTGCATGTCATTGTTTTCTGTGGTGGACCTCTTTTGGTATTCTGCTACGGCACTTACAAGGAGGAGTACAGTCTCATTTCCCTCTCTGCAATGAAGCCTGAGAGCTTTTCTTTTCCACATCTCTTCTTAACTCAGATGGAGGAGTTCGGTCTTTTTTTTACACATTCTCCAAAATGAAGTAAGAATTGAATTTTCTGTTCCGCCGCCTTCTTTCCATGTCACTCTGCCCTAATTTCCATAGTCCTGGTGGTTGTCTTTTACTCTTTCTCTTATCTTCCTTTTATCCTTGTCTCCCTATTCCCAGATATATCATTCTAGCAGTGCCTTCCATTCAGTTCAGATGGGTTCAGAAAAATGAGCTTCTCTGAAGCTCTCCCTGTTAACCACAACTCTTCTAGGAAGAACAACTCCATGCAGGATTTTTTTTTTTTTAGATAAAAAGGATACCCTCAGCTCATACATCTAAGGAAACTTTTCCATGTTAGTATTGTATGTATATATTAATGTTTTGTTAGTGTAATTTTACTGCAATTTGCTCGGTAACAAGTAGCAACTGGGAAGAAGGGATATCCTCCTAGAGAAGGAAAAGCTTGTGTTGTATTTATTCTGATCATAAAATAAAATATTACTGGAAATGAGTAATATTTTCTTCCTCAGTCATCTGGCAAGAAATAGTCCTTCTCCAGGTACAAACTTATAATATAGAAACTAAAATTAATATGATTTGTTAGAAAAACACCACAGAAACATTCTCCTTTTTTACACAGGTTATCAGATTCGTCTTGAACATTGATTGGCACCTATATTCTTTAACCTTGATAGCTTTCCCAATATACAGTTATTTCTGCAGAGATCTGTTTAGCTGCTGAAGTAATTTCTCCACCTACATCCTATTTGCCACTTGAGGTGTTTCTGATGTTCAGTGACTGGGTGTACATTTGTTGCTTCATCTGCACAGGAGTATTATCAATTTTCCTTGCCTTGCCTTCCCTTCCCTTCCCTTGCCTTGCCTTGCTATGCCTTCTCTTGATTTCTCTTGCCTTCTCTTGCCTTGACTTGCCTTTTCTTGTCTTCCCTTCCATTTTCCTGCTGAGACTACTTCTGTCTTCCTGTAAGAATTTGTAAGATTATGACCCATTATATAGTTTTCACTCACTTTTCTCTTAGAAAATTACTCTTTGTAGCAAGAGGAATAACCATTTCCATTCTTATTATCACTTTCTTGTCCCTATTGTTTATATCCTCCTCTTTCTTTTTTTTTTTTTTTCCTTACATGGAAAACTTAATAAAAGTTGTCATTACAGTTTTTCTTGAATTTTGAGGTTATTGAGTCTAGAAAGTAATCTTGTGCTATAATGAAATATTCCTATGATGCTTAATATGTATCTTTTGACTCTGCAGATATTTTTTAAGTTCTTTGATGTTTTAGCTAGCTTTTATATAGAAAATGTGATTGCAAGAATCAGACATAATGTATTTGGCGTAATGTTAAAAAATACTAGAGTGAGTCATTCGTAAATTATAGTGTTTTATTAACTTATCTGCAATGTTATGGTTAAACAAACTGCGGTTTTAATGTGTTATTAAATTGCAAGTTAGCGTGAAAGTGTAATTTAAATTGTTAAAAACAAAGTCAAGGAACATAGATCCCAAATATTAGTTCACCTGTAAGGTATAATCTTTCCCTTTTTGTTCAACTAGATCCTTGGGCCAAGTGATATTAGGAATCTCATGTGGTTTCAGTGGGTTTTTTTTGCATTTTTGTTTCCTGTATTTATTGCAGATTTCCACTTGGATACCTTATCTTTGATGGCAGCATGCATGCCTGGCCAGAACAGAACACCTTGGGCTCTGTTCCTGCACTTCTCAATACTCAAATGGGCACTGTAGGTTATACCTAGCATTTCCAACCTCATGTTGTGTGGTGTTATGATAATGTCCTTTGTATAGAAACCCATCATCTGCAGCAACCTCATCTCTGTAGTCGCAATAAGTTTTACATATGGAAGTGGCTGGGCTTTTTTGCTGTTAGAATAACCCATTCAGACTCTGGTAAGGTAGAGCCATTCCATTTTTCTCACTTAAGTTTGTCAAATTTTGTCTCCAAAATGGAAAATACCTGACTTCTGTTTACATAAGACCCTCCATTATTGTTTTCATTACTGAGAGGTAGTCTTAAAAGCATGTACTCTCTAAAAAGATCCTTAAAAACCATCTGCATACCAGTACCTCTGATGCTGTGAAATGTTCCATGCAGGCACAAAATTGTTTGCATGAAGCACCTTGCAGAATCAGGGCCTTAGTAAGTTTTCAATATCATTAAATACTCTGAAATTAGAGGCTTCATCTGCATAGTGGTATCTACATGACCAAAATAGTTTATGGCCTCTTTCTTTATGTACTTAATTATTTAAAATGAAAGATATTGATAGCTGTACTTTTTTTATTCTTTGGATTTTAACCAGTATTTAAAACCTTTTAACATTTAACTATCATCCAGAATAGTCTCAATTCAGATGAATGTTCACTGAAATAGATTAATTTTTTCAAAACAACCCATATGACTTGCAAGTCTAAACTTTGTTTTCAGAAGGAATGTAAGTGCTGGGCATCCACATCCCTGCAACTTCTACTTGCCTAAATTTGAAAAATGGAATTCAGTGTCTGCAATAAAAACTTAGGCAGTTTTAAATATACAACCCTTAGTTCCTAAGCTCTTCACTAATCACCAAATATTTCAATATGAATGTTTATTTGACAGTTAATTTTAGTTTTCAAAAACTATTCTTGTCAGTCATTCCAGTGCATTCTGTGCAATCCCTAAGCAGCTATTCTGAGTAAAACACTTAATTGTGATTAATTATCAGTGAATTTGCTTAGTTCCGTTAACATGCCCAATGAATCTCTCTAAGGCCTTCTTGTCTCAGAGTCTTTCCATTTGTACAGTTGCCTCCGCCTTTCTTGGGTTTGGTCATACTTCTTTGTCACTGAATGTGTCCTACATAATTAATCTCATTCAGCCTGGCATTTGATTGTATTCAATTCAAGGGTCTTTTCTTTGGCACAATTTGGTTATTGTGCAAACTCCCATCGTGATGTTGATCATTTTTGCTTCAAATCAACAGATCATAACCAATTGCTCATCCCATCCAGATCTGCAAAGATCTGCAACATGATGCTGTGGTATATCCCAAGTGCTGAGGCGATCCCCATGGGAAGTTGCATAAACTACGCAGTTGCTAAAAGGGGAACTAAAATTGCTGTGTTTTGTACTTTCTCTGTTTGGTCAGACTTGCCAAAACCCTTTAATATATAACCCAAAATAAAAGTAATAATATCAGTTGAAGTCCTAAATATGATTGTCTGGATCCTCAGTTGGTGTAAATTAGCATAGCTTCATTGCCTTCAGTGGAGTTACGCTAAGATACAACAGTGATGATCCGGGCAGATGCCCTCAGCTGCTGTCTTGGGTTAGCATTCATGTTTGATTGCCTTATTTAAATCTTTTGAAGTTATAAAATTCCTCACATTGTTTGGTTTCCTAGAATGACCAATTGCTAACTTGATTACTTGGTGTCTTTTTCTGTACAGTAACATCTGATTTTGCCATGCAGTTTAGTTCACCCCTTTATTTTTATCTCAGTGCTATTGGGACTTTATGTGGCACACATTTTTTGCAGTACTTTAGTATCTATATAAATGTTTTATATCTCTAAAATACCCCATATCCCTCATAAACACCTCATCATAATATTCTTTTACAATACTTTTTGTATTCCAAATAAGTGAAATTTACGTTTGCTCATCTGCATGCAAAAACTGCTCTTCTGCCCTAACACACACAGAATTACCACTGCTTCAAAGTCTGCTGATTTCTCTCCTTTCACAGATAACAACACTGTGCTCTTTCAGCATGAGCTTATTTGGTGTACACTGTGTGAAACAACCTTAGATTTTGAGGAGTATTTTAACATTGGACATTGTTAATTATTTTAATATGCTTGACTGTGCTTACACTGCACTCAGCTCCAGAAATATCTGTTTTCTGTAATAAAAAAGAAGCAGAAGACTGCAGTATAAGCACATTGCTGCTGTTATCTATTATTTTTTTGGACTGTGGTAAAATGGAAAAAAAGACAGACCCTTGAAAAACATTAAGTCTAAATAAATTATATTTAAGGTGCAATTTCCAGAATTACACTGTTTACATAGTTTCATTAAAATTATCAGGTATAAGTAGTCAATCACAGTGATATTTAAAATGCCATCTTCAGGTTTCAGAGTTAACAGTACACTGAGATGAATGGAATTTAGTTTTCAAATTTTCAGATTACTGATTAATGGGGACATCATTATGAAAGCATATGATCATCTTAAAAAAAACTATAAATATAATTTATTCAAATTACCCAGATTAGATACAGGACCACTTTTACTTCTGTAATAAGTTTGAAAGAAATCAAATCATACAGACACAGTTTATAAGAAAACCAAGCCATAGTGGTGGTGGTGAATTTTGTTTCAGCTTATGGGTTTCTTTTACCAGTAAAGAACTGTTTTTTTCCCATGCCAGTCAATCTGGCACTTTTCTTGAACACATTGCTCACACAAAAATGATTTTAAAGCACGTTCAGTAGAAAATCACAACTTATCCATTTTGCCTGTAAAATTCTAAGTGTAGGGATTTTTTTCTTCCTTCTATAAACTGATAACTAAAATGAATTAAAATGACCCTGGATTAAATACAGTTCACTGAATACTGAATTCAGAGTTTAATAGGTAGACAACATATAATTTAATTTTTGGCTATATGATCTAAATCTATAATTCAGACGTGAATCAGACATGATATCAGATAACATATATAAAACTGAAAAAAACTCTTGGCTATTTCTTACAAATATTTGTATTTTTTTATTTTAAATACCAGAGTTATTCTCTAAAAGAGAGTGAATTCACTATCTGCTGTTACAACTGCTGTGCATTTGACAAATAATTTTTAATTTAAAAGTTGTAAATGTTTGATATGCTGGACACTACAGAGATAAAGCACTGTTTTTGTTCCCCATGAATTAGACTTACAAACAAATGATGGAAAAGAAAAAAAAAAAAAACAACAGAGAAATCATAAAAAATTATATGAAAAGAACTAAACAATTTTTTTAAAAAAAATGGTAGATTATGGGTTTCTCCTCAAGGCTTCTCCAGGAACCATTGTAGGTGGTGATTTGTTTTCCTCTGATGCACTAATCAAGGAACATCTGTCAGGAAAGCGTAAGTATGTTCCATAAGTACAGGTGATGGAGGAGGGGCAAGGGCCTTGTTTTTAAACAACACCCCATATACCTGCTGTTACTTCAGTGTGAAGAATCTAAAAGAACAGAATTATTAAGATTTTTTTATTTTATTTTTAAGACAGCTAATGTTTATTCCTCAATATTCCCATTCACAGAAAAAGGCCTTCAATGGTTCTAAGTCTTTCCTGAGACCTGATCCAAAGTCTTCTTAAGTCAATGGAAAATCTCTTACCATCTGTAGCTGGCTTTAGATATGACATTATATTCTGTAACCATGAAAAGCTTTCCCTGAGCAGCACATTTTAATGGTGTGAAAGCCATATTACAAGGCCAACTTCCATGCATAGCCCCATGACCAGAGTTTGCACTCCTTACACTTGACAAAATCAGTTTCAGATTGATACTGTCATAGACAGTGTCCTATCATTACTTGTTTTAGAAGAAAAAAGTATTTCTAAGATATTAATTAGTGAAATATTGATAAGAAAGTTCCTTAACTTTTGTTGAACTTCTATTTAATATAATAAACCTCTGTAAATTAAAAGCAATACTTAATGCATATGAGGTAATTATCTACGAGTTTATATGCAAAACTTGTATCCAGAATACAATGTTTTAATCATCGTTTACCTGAGTTTAATTCCATTTTTACAAACGTTGGTGTTAACGCTGCTAGAACCCAGAGCAAATGCTACTGGTTCGCAAGTGGGTAATAAGTAAACACATTAGGACCACACATCACCAGTTTTTAAAAAAATTCTTGTAAATGTTAATGTACCACAGAACTAATGTGTTTTGTGAATGATCTCAATAGTAATTTTATTCCATCTTAAGTTTTAAAAGTCATTATTTCAAGGTAGTGCAATTGTCTTTAGGAAAAAAACTTTTTTTTTTTTTTCTTTGTCCATGTCAATGAAAATGCTTTCCATCCAAAGGTAAAGCAGGTGTAATGAATATTTATATAAAAGGTATTTTTTTTCTTATGCATTTCCCTCACCATATAAAAGGGAAATTAGCCATTTCTAAAGACTCTACCAATCAATTAAATTCTGTGCAAGAAATACTATCTACAACAAAGAATAATGGGAAATGGCAACTTACAGGAGATGCTTCTATAAGATGTAGTTTGCTGGGTAACCTGTTCCACAGTCTTTCAGTTGACCTTCCTGGAATGCTATATTTGTCTTGAAATTAGTGCTTTTTCTATGGCTGAATGGGTGCTGAGAGTGGAATTCTGCCTATCTCTGCTTCATGCCAGGAGCTTAATAAGATGCTCTTCTTCCACAACATATATAGCTGAGGATCACAGCCTCTTGAGATATTCAAAACAGAGAATTTATATTTCAGCTATGTTCTTGACCCATGTATTATTCTCCTGAATATTTGTCAGGGGGCAGTTAATTAGCAGGAATATTTGTGAGGATAGTGATTTTTTTTTTTTTTTAATATTTTGTCAGTGATTGAATATAAGATGTAAACATCCACTCTGAAAATAGAAAGCTGTTGTTCTTCGCCAGCCTCAGAAGACAAAAGTATTAATCAATGTTTAGATGAGACCTGTATCAAGAGTAACCAATTGTTACTGTTAC